AAGACATCTACAGTACAAATAAGGACTAGCCTTTACTTACAAAGTTCTCAGCATCTATTGTGAAGTATCAAAAGAAAAGAAGACACTGTGTTTATGTTAAAAACAGTTTTATGATCAGTTAAATAACTTTAAAACTGTTATAAATTTGGCAAAAATGGAAGGGAATCCAAGAATAATAAACAAATGGAAAAGATGGCTCTTGTCAGTTTTATATCATCCAACATTTGATGCATTAATTCTGAAATTGGATTGTTAAACTTAATTTGAAAAATAAAAGGATCTGAGCTTGTAATTTCATTTTGAAAGTGCTAAAATTTTATTCCTGCATTTCTCACATAAAAATGCGTTGATAACAAAAAAACCCCAAAACAAATAACCACAAAACAAGTTGTAACAAAAGAAAGAAAACATGAGAGAAGGGAAAAAATTCACCAAGAACTCACTGAAAAGACCTCGCTAAAGAAGTCCAGACGCTTTTCTTTCCATGCTCTGTAGACCTCATTGACGTTTTCAATAAAATCTCAGTCTGACAGATTTTGATATCAGAGGTTTTGGCGTCTCCTGCCTTTCCAACACTGAAATATGGGAAGAGTTTCTCAGTGAAAGTGTGTCTGTGAGTGTAGATGTGAGTCATGTCTTCAGGGTGATAGAAGGACACCTCCCCCCTGTCATAATCCAGCTGGACTCTGATCCTCTGGAGACTCTTCTTCACTGTCACAGTCTGACCATCACCATTAGTGTATTTTCCAGTCGATGCATAAACACCAGATTCCATATTTTGGTGAAGCAGAACTCTCCCTTCCTGTCAACTGACTCTTTAACTAAACCCACATATTCCAGTCAGGATGGTCTCCCACCTCCACCTCCCAGCTGTGTTTCCCTGAGCTGAAGCCCTCAGAGCCAAAAACAGTGGCACTATAAGTGTTTCTCTCTGGATTATCAGGAAGCTGCTGCTTGTGTCTCCATTCTCACACTGGTCAGATCATCAGACAGATAGAGACAGCAGTGTGCAGTGTTTGGGTCCAGAATGACAGGACTGAAGTGGACCTTCTCCTTCATCTTCTCCCACACTCTGAAGGACAGGTTGCCCAGGTGTTTGGCCACATCTATCAGTGCTCCTGAGACCAGCTGTGGATCTGACACTGAGCTCTGGGCTCTGGCTCTGCTCTGAGTGTCTTTATAACTGCTGAGGAATGGCACGCTGTGTTTCTGCAGCTCTTCTTCAACAGCAGAGATGCTGTCTGACAGAGAGGAGATCTGCTCCTCAATCATCTTCATCTCTCTGCTGATAGTCCTCCCCTTCTGCTCCTCTTCCTCCCTCAGAGCTGCCAGTCTGGACTCCTCTTCCTCTTTCAGGAACTGCTGGAGCTTGTTGAACTCTGCTCTGATCTGCCTCTCTGTGGACAACAGCTGCTTCTTCATGTGTTCCCTCAATTTTCATTGTATGTTTCCTCCACTTGTTTGTATTTGTTCCTCTTGTCCTGCAGAGACTTTAAGTCAGATTTCAGCTGCTCCTTCAGGTCACTGACTGCTTCTTCTACAGGAACCACTTTGTGACTCTGGTGGAGAGAAAACTCACACACGGTGCACACAGCTCTCTGCTCGTCCACACAGAACAGTTTAGGCTCTTCCTCATGTTTACTGCAAATCATTTCCAATACCTTCTTTTCTTTTAGTGTATCAGATGATCCAACTTTCTGTCTCCCAGCAAAAGAGTCAGCAAGTTCTTTGAGAGCAAAGTTTACATATTGATAATCTTTTGAAGATTTTCTTTTACAAATGGGACAGTTTTTGTTTTTAGTTTGTTCCCAGAATTTCTGCAGGCAGCTTGAACAGAAGCTGTGGTTGCAGCTCAGAGACACAGGATCTCTGAAAGTCTCTGAACACACATGGCAGCTCAGATAATTTTCAAAAAGTACAAGTTTTTCAGCCATTTGATCTTTTCAGATTTCCTTTTTTCCCCCCCAAATAACACGACTCACCATAAATACAGATCCCAGCCTTCAATGTAATGGCGTCTCTGCTCTGATCAACGTTATGACTCTTTCGTTTTCATTTACTCTGTTGTGGGTGGAGCTGATAGTAACAAACCTGCCATTTGACTCTGTCCACAATAGATGGAGCTCTTTCTGTGTTAAAGGAATACTCCACCACCTTGTCAAATTTAAGTAGTTGTGTAAAGAAATTTTACTGCAATAACTTTCATATGCATCACTGAATTCTTTTGAGCTTCCTCTTAAGCCAGCAGTTGGAGAATGTTTGGTACTCACAGGTCCAGTTTTCTATAGATGAACATTTCCTAAAATCCCAGTTTTCTCTCCACCAGAGTCACAAAGTGGTTCCTGTAGAAGAAGCAGTCAGTGACCTGAAGGAGCAGCTGAAATCTGACTTAAAGTCTCTGCAGGACAAGAGGAACAAATACAAACAAGTGGAGAAAACATACAATGAAATGAGGGAACACATGAAGAAGCAGCTGTTGTCCACAGAGAGGCAAATCGCTTACTTAACTTACTTAACAAGACATTAGCATTTTTTATTAATCAAGTTATCAATCAGGGTTTTTTTTACATTTTGAAACCAATAAAACACACATATTAGCCAGAGATTGTTATCAGCTGATTCTGATCTCAACACTGATAAAACTAAGCTAAGTAATATTTATCAGCATCCATTTATCTTTGTCACGTCAATTTTGGACAGTTTTAATGTTCAAAAATAGTTTCATGAAGAGTTAAATGACTTTAAAACAGTTATACTGTCATGGTCCTGGGCCATGTTGGCCCAGTATTCTTAGTTTTCTTGTATGTTTGTATTTTGTTCCCTATTTAGGCCATGTTTCCTGAGTTGCCCTGTTGTGTTGTTCCCTAAGTGTTTTCCCTTCTGTGACTCTCACCCCCTGTGTGCCCCTCTGTGTATCTGTGAGCCTTCGTCTCTCCTTATGTTTTATTCCATGTTTCCCCTGCCCGTTATGTCTAAGTTCTCCCCGTGCTCTCTCTCCCCCCTGTGTGCCCTCTCTGTATTTATGAGCCCTCGTCTCCCTTTGTGGTTGTTCCATGTTTCCCCAGCCCGTTATGTCTGTGTTTTTCCCCGTGCTCTCTCTCCTCCTGTCTGAACCTCTGTACTTCCTGTTTGACTCTGCCCGTCTCCCGTCAGTGTTATGTTCCCGCCCTGTCTCGTTATGGTTATCTGTGTCAGCTGTGTTCCCCGTGTGTTCCCACTTTCCTCGTTAACCCTCTGTGTATTTCTGTCTGCGTCTCCCTCTGTTCGGCGTCGCGTTCTCCCTCATTGCTGTGTGGATTCCCTGTGTCTCCCTACGAGTGTTAGTTTATTGATTCCCAGTTTAGTTGAGTTCTGTATTTCCTATGTTCTGCCTGTCAGCAATAAAGCTGCTTTTGAGTTCATCCCCGTGTTTGTGAATCTTGCGATTGGGTCCTCCTCCCGCCTGCCACACAGCCGATCCATGACATATA